GTGTGCGTGTGTGTGTATTGATGTATGCATGTTTTATGTGTGTGTTTGTGAAGTATACGCACATAACATTTGTAATACTTATGAAAGTGCATACATATTATTCGTATATTTATGAAAGTGACAACACCCTTGTTAAAAGGATTTAATTTCTCTTTCCCATTACAATCTTGCTACATAATGTAAATAATTTTCATAAGGACCTTTTGATCTCACAATGGTAAATAAAAGAAAGTGTATAGAAACAAAAGTTTATTCATTTTATCAGTTGAATTTTTCATTTATTTTCGGGAGCAAGAAAGATGCCCCTTCCATTATATGAGTCTTTGATCTTTTATTTTCTTTTAATATACAAATTATTAATATTTCATTCTGTTTAACGTCACAGTTAGAGAAGGGGAAATTTGTTCTTTTTTGCATAACAAATGATCTTTATGTTCATGAGTAAAGATGTTTTTAATACTCGAATCTGAATGTGAATATTTTCTTGAGTTATGGTAGCTCAAGAAATTACAAACAGGATATTAAAAAAATAGAAAAAAAAATATACAGAAATAACAATAGTAATACTTTCCTCCAGCGCAGGAAAGTCATTCAAGTTTAACCCGAAGGATCACGAATATAAAGAAAATGGTGCTATAAACCACGTGACTTCACAGGGGGAACTATGAATAACTTTTCCGTCGTCAGCTTCCGTCTCGCGTGCGTGAAACCTCAGCCCTGAGGGTTTTTTTTTTTAATCGGTCCTTCTACACACCAACGCCATAAAAACAAAAACTATTTTCCACAGCGTCTTCACCTTTTACATAAGTGCTCCCTTGGCACATCAAATCAAAGGAAGAAATTAAAAGAAATAGAGAGAGAAAAAAAAGGAACGAACAAACAAAAAAATAAATCGTAAAAAAAATCTTTTAAAAGGTATACTTGACAAAAATATTTATCTTGTGTATAAAAAAAGGGGGGGATACGTCAACATGAACAAATATTTATAAGGAATGCCAGTAGAGCAACGTACCTTTCTACAGTCCAATATTGATGGGGGTTAGTTAGTTTTCGGGGAAGTATCTAATATAGAGCGGAGCTAATATTTATTATTTATTGCACTGATATAGCCAGAACATCTCTTTTTTCAACCATATGCTCAAGGGTACAGTTATAACATGTAAAATGAAATGTCTATATACATATCTACATCTCTTAGTCTATATTGTGTGTGACATTACCAGACTCTTTAAACCTTTACTTAGGTTCAATAAAGTTCATTCTCTTGTATATTTTGAAAATGAAGATTATTTCAACGTCGTGCAGTTTAACAGGACCTGATAATGACACTTTTAATATCGCCAAGGTTAAGGGTCAAAATATTACAATAAAAGGAAGTTTACTGAGGACTTGCTTCATGCCACTTTTGCAAATGGAATAGTTGTGTGTGGATAGCTCTTTTTTGTATTTTATTGCGATTTTTTGTGAATATGTAAAAAATTACGTTCTAATAAAAAGGACTCCATAGGAGTTTGCACTGTTTACCAAACTAAGTAAAGCGTATAAGTGTTTAAGAATGATTGCGTGGGCATGAAACACGTATTTTAAGGGCAACAAGGGCCTCTCTTTGTTCCGATTGTAAAATGGCAATGATTTCGAAATATTTTAACACAGGTGCTTAAACCTAATTAACCTTGCGTAATAGGCGTTCAGTCGTGTGCCGTCACATCATGTTCGTTCAGAAGCACGGGGTCGTTCTACATACGATAAAATTATCCCAAAAAACATCCAATTTCACGATAACTTCCTCGTAAACAGCTCCTTTCCTGGCCATACTTCGACGACCTCCGACGACCCCCGGTGGTCCTGAAACGACAAGCTCGGACGAAAAAAATCACAAGATCACAGTCGTGAGATGGGGCAATAAGTTAGGGTCCTCTTTAGAGATCGTTAAGGGGGCTGTTGACGCCGGTGTTGCCAGTCCAGGGATACTTCTCGGGACACTGTTGGCACGTCCGCATGTAACGTACGCCTCCCTTGTGCCAGACGTTGCAGACCTTGGTGCTGGTGCAACGCTTGCGGTCCTGCGGGCAGAGGAGGGCGGGGTTAGACAATGAGGCAAAAGGAAAAGGTACAATGAGGCCAAAACAATAGAAACAGTGAGGCAAAAGAAGACCATAATAGAACATACAATAAGACATAATAGAAACAATGAGGCCAAAACAGAACGTAAATGAGGCAAAATGAGAACGTACAATGAGGCAAAAGAATAACGTACAATGAGGCAAAATGAGAACGTAAATGAGACCATAATAGAACATACAATGAGGCTAAATAAGAACGTAAATGAGGCAAAACGTACAATAAGACCAAAAAAGAACGTACAGTGAAAAAGAATGTACAATGAGGCAAAAGGAGAACGTACAGTGAGGCAAAAGGAGAACGTACAATAAGACCAAAAAAAGAACGTACAAGAGGCCAAAAAGAGGTAAAAGAAGAACGTACAATAAGACCAAAAAAGAACGTACAATGAGGCAAAAACAGAACGTAAATGAGGCAAACGGAGAACGTAAAATGAGGCAAAAAAAAGAGAGATTGAAATAGATTCGATACACATTTACGTTTATTCGTGGCAATGGCATCGTCAACGGCTTCGAATCGACGGACATAGGAAATGGAAAGCAAGAATGGAAGGGAATGAAAGATAATAAAGAAAAGGAAATCGTGGAGGCAAAAGACACGAAGAATTAATCTTAGATGAAGGAAGAAAAGAAAGAAAGAAAAAAAAGTAATTCAAATTTCTCAAAAACTTCCCCAATTGGAAGGAATATCATCTCCCAAACTTTGAATAAGAACTCTAAAAAAGAATAACAATAACAATAAAAAACAACAAGAAGAAAGAAAAAGAAAAACACACGAAGATTATTTAAAAGGAAGTCTCCCTCCCCCTCAAATAACAATAATAATAAAAACAATAATAATGATAATAATGAAAATAATAATAAATATTATTATTATTATTATTATTATCATAAATAAATAAATAAATAAAACAGTTATGCCAAACTTACAGGGTAATTGCAGCCAAACGCAGGGAAGTTCTTGACTGTGCTCAGGGGCTGAGGGTCGCGCATCCACTGGAGGAGCTGCCAGTTAGTGACGAGCCAGACGTCGTCCATGGCGGTGATGGTGTCCAGGAAGGCGATGAACCCTTCCTTGTGGTGAGGTGTGGTGAACCAAGCGGCGTGGTAGAACAGGCCGAAGGGAGCCCTGCAATGGGGGTGGTGGTGAGGTTGGGGGATTTTTTTGTTTTTTGTTTTGTTTGGATGATGATAATGATGAAGAGGAGGAGGAGGAGGAAGATGGTGGTGGGGATGGTGAAAAAGATGATGATGATGATGAAGATGAGGATGGTGAAGATGAGGATGATGATGGTAATGATGATAATGATAATGATGATGATGATGATGATGATGATGGTCAGGATGAGGAGGAAGAGAAGATGCATGAAAATAATGATGATGAGGATGTGGTTGCTGAGATGGAGGAGCAGGAGGAAGAAGATGAAGCTAATTACGGTAAAAAATGAAGGTAATGATAATAACAGCACTGAGGAGTCTCCGTATCTATCAACATCACCTTTTCATCCCCACCTGCAATATTACCCTTCAAAACATACATACCCAACCAGGGAAAACCCAAAAAGAAACACCACACCACTCCCGAAACCCACCTGTTGCTGGTATAGTGTCTCTCGAAGTTCTTGATCAGCATCTTGTAGACTCCCTCAGCGTCGGGGGGCGTGGTGCAGGCGTCGCCCATGGAGCAACGGCCGCCAGTCAGGTCCTGCCACATCACCATGGGCACTTGCCAGACTCCTGTGGGCGAGGAGGAAGGGATTAGAGAGAGAAGAGGGTTTTTGGGTTGGAAAGGGGAGGGTGGAGGGGATGGTGGGATGGAATGGGGAGTGGGGGGATGGGGGGTTGGGAAGGAAATGGGGGAGGGGAGTAGGGGAATGGTGGGTTGGGAAGGAGGGGTAGGGAAGGGAGGGGAGGGGGGTGGGGGGAAGGGGGAGGGGGAGGGAGGGGAGGGGAGGGGAGGGAAGGGAATGGGGGAAGGGAGGGGGGGAAGGGAAGAGGGGAATGGGGAGGGGTGGGAGGGGAGGGAGAGGATAGAAAGCATGGGGTTGAAAGGAGAGAGAGAGAGAGAGAGAGAGAGAGAGAGAGAGTGTAACGGGAGGAGGGAAAGGAAGAGGGAGAGAGAGCAATTGAGTGGGAAAGGAAAAAAAGGGGGAAGAAGAGAAAAAAAGGAGAATGGGAAGAAAAGGATATGGGAAAGGAGAAAATGAAGAGCGAGCAAAAACAAGGAGTAACAAATAAAAAAAACGGTGGAGGCCAGAGAAAAGGGAGTGAAAGGAAGGAAAGGAAGAGGAGAGAGGGTGAGAGGGGAAAGGTAGTAGGGCATGAGGAGGAGGGAGGGGTGAGGCAGGGGGGGGGGGGGAGGGTAATCGTAATTTCAGTCACGCTGACAGATTGCCTAGCTTCGACTGACGGTTATGAAACAGTAATGTGTGGGGGTCCTGTGATTTATTTCAGGGATGGGTATGTGTGCGGATATAAATGGGTATGTTGGGGGATCGGTGGTAATAATCATGTTCTGTTGTATGCATGTGTCTGTACGAATTCAACTGATGAATATATAAATGCCCACAAAAACATACATCTCTTCTCTCTTCTCTCTCTCTTCTCTTTCTCTTTCTCTTCTCTTTCTCTTCTCTCTCTCTCTCTCTCTCTCTCTCTCTCTCTCTCTCTCTTCTCTCTCTCTTCTCTCTCTACTTCTCTTCTCTCTCTCTCTCTCTCTCTCCTCTCTCTTTCTCTCTCTCTTCTCTCTCTCTCACACACATCTCACACACACAACACTTCGCACATACACCAAAACACCCCCTCCCCCCTCCCTACACAGCCCTACACTCAACACACTCACCAGGATAAGAGTTGGTGGGACAGGGTGGGATCATGCAGTCATGGAAGATCTTATAATCCAAGGTGTAAGGCCAGCTGGGGGGTTTGTTCTCATACACCGGCATGGATGAATCGTAGGTGAAGTTATAGTCGTATAACATCTTGAACATCTTGTTGCCGCCAATCTGTGAATTCAAAGTGGAGGATGTTGAAGAAGAGGAAAAATGAAAATTGTAATCATGAAGAACGTAAAAATATATATTTTTTTTTCTTTTTCTTTTTTTTTCTAATTTGTGCCTTAGCTGCACATTTAGCAAAATTGTACTCTGCTTTGGAATTTCGTTTTTTTTTTCTTTACAGTAAAAAAAATGGTCTAGTTTAAGTGATAATTAAAAGATGGGATAGTCCTGATAAAGTTACGAAATCAAATAAGTTCTTGTTAGTCCTCATGAAATACTCATACTTTGAAATATCAAGTTTAAGTATCGCGATCAAGTATTCATTCCAAAAGGCGATGGGCAAAATCTAAGAGTCGGAAGTAAGCTACACAAACAACTCATTTTGTCATTGTTGTTAAATAATGAACTACTGTCCAGGTTTTAACTTCCTGAATTGAGATCCCAATTCACCTCGATAACTAACTCTCGTTCTAGTCTCCCTCCCAATACACACTACCTCCAAAACCACCCCATATATCACAGGTACAACCAAGCATAACAACTCAACAACTCACAGCCAAGAAGGGTGCTCTCATGCCCCTCACATCCTCCATCTTGACGCCACCATAGGCTGCCATGATCTCCCTCTGTCCTGCGATCTCCTTAGCCCATTTCTTGATGGAGAACTGCTCGCCGAAGCTATGCCTGGAAAGCCACGTAAACATTGGAACTTCTGTTGTATGTTATAATCACATTGTTTTTTTTTGTATGTAATGTAACACATTGTTAGTAGGGGAGGGGGGTACGTAAACACTGGTACTTCTATTGTTCTATTGTATGTTATAATCACATTGTTATCTTTTTTTCCTTTTTTATTGTAGGGGGGGGGGGGTAAGGAGGAATTAATAGTTAAAGGTGATAGTATTTTTTTCTTTCCTTTCTTTCTTTTTTTTAGTGTATGGGGGGCGGGGGTAAAGAGGAATTAGATAGATAGTTAAGAGTGATAGTAAAAGGGGAATTGAGGTACAATTGAACTGTTCAATTTCCACATGGGTTATAGGTGGGGAATTACAGCAAATAACTTGAATCGATATTATAAAAGAGCAAATTGTTGAAACGTGAAATGTCAGCCAAGTGTTATAACAATGACACTTTTCTGTAAAAAAAAAACTGTATGTAGATTTATACTTGATTTATATTTAAAGCAAAATAAGGTTACTGCAGATTTTTTATTGACCATAAAAAGGCCGTCCTTTGTATTATTGAAAAAAATAGATCAAATAAAAAAAAATAAGCTGAAGTGTATATATGTTTATATATGCGTATATATATATATAATATATATATATATATATATATATATATATATATATATATATATATATATATACATATATATATATATAGTATATATATATTATATATGTATATATATATATATATATATATATATATATATATATATATATATATTATATATATATATATATATATATTATTAATATATATTATATATTATATATATATATATATATATATTATATATATATATATATTATATATATATATATATATATATAATGTATATATGTGTGTGGTATATATAATATATATATATATATATATATATATAATATATATATATATATATATATATATATATATATACAATATTATATATATATATATATATATATATATATATATAATATTATATATATATATATGTATGTATGTATGTATGTATATGTATGTACATATATGTATATACATATAATATAATATATATATAATATGTATGTATGTATATGTATATATGTATACATGTGTATATACAGATATAATGTATATACATATGCAGCATATTTGCAAGATTGGCATATTTACATGCTAATGCCACCACATCCCTTAACTTTAAAGTATTAGTAACTTTCTATGTACAATATATCACGAGAGAAAAATCTTGAAAAAAAGGAAAAATTGGTGAGGGACGGATAAAACAACGAAGAGAGAGAGAGAGAGAGAGAGAGAGAGAGAGAGAGAGAGAGAGAGAGAGAGAGAGAGAGAGAGAGAGAGAGAGAGAGAGAGAGAGAGAGAGACAGACAGACAGACAGACAGAGAATCATGCACTATGCTTTCGAACAATCGGAGGAAGCCAGCGCAAGCATAACCGGCTTACTTACTGAATGCTGTGAGACGCGATCTCGTGACCGTCAGCATATAAGTTCTGAACCTGGGAATAGTCGGTCCACTCATGCGACACATACATAGTAGAAGTGATGGGACAACCGTTCGGATTTTTGCGCCCATTTTGGAAAAGCTCTGTGTACAGTTCCTTATTCAGGTCATTCACAGAGTCATCAAAGGTGAGAAGAACGATCTGAGGAGTTTCTTTCGGGGTGAGACCACCTGAACCGAGAGGAGAGAGCGAGAGGATGGGAAAACGAAAAATTAGAGGACTGATTGTTATCGTCGAATAGGTGAGAGAGGTTTTTTGAGTTACCCCTCAAACGAGGCGAGTGCTGAAAGAAAACGATCAGAAAGCAGCATAGAAAACGTAAAAGTTAGTGTAGAGTAGTCAGGGTAGACTGCGGGAAAAAAATAAAAGCGAGCTGTTTATGTACAAAAGATGTAAGGTATAGTGTAGAGAGTGGATAGGTCCCCAGCAACATGCAGTGTACAGCGTAGTCGCGTCAGAGGTGTTTCATGCTATATACTTACGACACTGAGTGTGAGGCAATTTCGTGTCCGTCAGCATAAAGGTTCTGAACCTGGGAGTAGTCAGTCCACTCGTGACTAACATACATGGTGGAGGCAATAGGGCATCCGTTGGGGTTGGTTCGCCCAACTTCAAAGAGGTCGCGGTATAGCCCCTTGTTGAGATCGTTCACGGCATCGTCAAATGTTAAAAGGACAATCTGAGGAACTGTCTCGGGGGCGAAACCACCTGTGTGAGGGTTCATGTGGAGGTTAACAGTGGGCCATGGGTGTGTGGATACGTGGTTCGTTAGTTATGTTCACATGGTATATATGGTATAGCTGGAACCTTAAATGGTAGTAAAGGGCACATGCAATGGGTGTACTGTTTCGGGTAAAAGGGCAAGAAATGACAAGAAATTCAAGAAATGTATTTTGTGTAAATGATGAAAATCGGGTAAAACTACATGAATGAGGGTGTAAATTGTGCAAATCTAGCGTTCTTGATCATTCTTTTCGTATCTATGGTGGTATGAATAACATTTGCAGTTTGTGAGACTTTTTGTATGCTAGTGTTAATGCCGATTAAAGTGAATGGGATAATATGTAAATGTAATTTAGATATGTAAGTAATGATACGTTGATTATACTGTACTGATAACTTTATATTGATCTTAAGATGCACTGTGTCACCTGACATCATGTAAGTGTTTATATGAATCTATTGTTTGGTGAACAAAGTCAAGACAGATATCAGAACCAGAAGAAACTTATATCATAATCACACACACAAACACGCACAGACAACACGCAAATTATGATTAATATGATACACCTACAGGACTAAGCAGTATTCTATATCGAGAGAATATGCTTTTTATCAGTTATTATTACCAAATATACGACTATTTCTTAAGTTACGAAGCTCATGCATAATAATAATTAACGCGTAAATGGCTGGCTTTTCCCTAGTACTTTAACATGTATTTCACCCATGCAAATATGTGAACTCCTCATGTTGTTCCCAAGCACATACATGGCAAAGTCATGCAGGTATGCGAATTTTGAAAGGCATTCAGGCCACTAACATAGATAGCTTTAATTGAAAATAATATGTATGATGTTCAAACGCTTCTACAGCACTCGTACAGTCACACTGATCTACTATTTATACAAGAAATTAAAGACAGAAAAAACATCAAGAATCATATTTAAACATTTTTGATTCTCTAAACATTTCCCAAGGTACTAACTTACATAATAATAGCAAGACCTGCAATACAGATTAACACAATGATATAACATACAGCAAGCATACTTATTTTGACCTCATACTTTCGTAAAATAAATACAATTTGACACAGATGTTCAGTGAAAAACAAATGACACACTTTATAACAGATCAGTTTCTTGAATTATATAAAAAATATCACTAAATAACAAATCGATACGTTATAAATAGCAAGAAAAAAATCAAAATTATCTATCAAATACCGTATCAAGAAAAAAAATCCTTAAAAATACATAAAAAGACGTAAAATATATCATGACTCCAGGACCCTCATCCACTGACGTCAACCCCAGGGGATCCTTCCGCCTACCTGGGATGTCCTTTCCGCCGCAGTAGCAGTCTGGGAGAACACACACTTTGGGGTCGCATTTCGTGGCCTTGGTGTCCACGGGGGGCTGGGGTCGGACTGGGGCTGGCCTGGGGTGAAGGGGGAGGGGGGTTATGGGTTAGTTTATGTGTTGTGTCATAATGTGTGTAGAAATAAGATAACTCGAATTTTGGGTATGTACATATCAAGAAAACACATGCATACACATACATTAATATATATATATATATATATATATATAATATATATATTATATATATATATATATATATATATATATATATATATATATATATATATATATATATATATATGTATAATATATATATATATATATATATATATATATATATATATATATATATATATATATATATATATATATATATATATATATATATAATATATATATATATATATATATATATATATATATATACGATGCACGTATATATATAAAATCTACTTCACAATTCTGCATTAATTGATTCTTATATTTATATACATTCCGCGCTCACAGAAGCACTCATCTAAGTTGCCTTTAAAGCAGTTACTCGTCTTAGTTAAGGGGAGGAAGAGGGTCATTTAAGAGCAGAATCTATTTAGTGAATTACAGACTTTATGGGTGAGTTGGCAGCTTGGATAAAGGGAAGCTTTGGACTTTAATTAGTGTTGATATTACGTTCTGGGGAAGAAGAATCAGGCCTCTTATAGTGCAAAAATTAGGACGGTGGTATTAAATCATTAGAGAGAAAAAAATAAAAAACTTAAGTTGGTTATCTAATACTTTTTTTTAGACTATGGAATTCTTTGGAAACCGGAAAGCAAACTTACCTGCAGATCTGCTCGTTGAAATCCACTCAAAGGGAACTACCAAAAACTACTGTGCTCGTTTACATGGCTACCTTTCTAACACAACTGCTATCGCATGCAAAATATGCACTAAAAGCAATATGCTATAAGTCACATTATTCAATCTCACCGATGGAAGCGAGCATCGTTGCACTTCTTGTCAAATGTCTTGCTTTACAAATCTTTACAAGAAAACCTTATTAAAAAATATATATACATTGATTAAAAACGAACATGTATTTATTTATAAAAGCAATATACATATTTTCCAAAATTGTAAAAAAACGAACATGTAATATATAAAAAGCATTATACATGTTTTCCAAAAATTGTACAAAAACGATTTTGAATTTTTTTTTTTCTTGTCACTTGTGTGTCTGAAGATTATTAAGTAAGCAAGCACAGAGCGACTCTATAAGTGTAACCCACATTATGCATAATTCTACAAGATACTACAGAGAGTTGTATAATGTGTGCGTGGTATCAATGATCCTAGGGCCCATATCTATTGTGTGTACGATAGCTGTGGAGGGTGGGTGTATTGTGAAGCTGTGGTGGCGTATTGTGTGCTCAAGATCATGTGGTTTTAGTTGGTAGGTGTTGTTAGTCATGTGCGATTTAACGGTTTTGAGTGCCGTGGGGTGTTAGAGTGTCGATGTCTCATAGAGTCTGGAAATTCTGTTGTTTACTATGTGTATGTGTGTAGTGATCGATGTGTAAGTGTGTGTAGTGTGTGGTGATAACCAGGGTTTTACGGTGTAATGTTGTTTCCTGTGTTATTGTTGTTTTGATGTGTGTGTAGTGCGTGTGACTGTAATTTATTGGTTTGTTGTGAATTGTGCACTCGCCTGTTTCTATTGCTGAGGGTGGTATGTCGAAGGGTAAGTTGAGATGCTGCTAAGAGCTGTGTGGTACAGTGAATGAAGTGATGTGGTTCACTGTAAATATCCAGATTTTGAACAATCTTGATTTTTTTATCTTATCGCTCGGGCCGTTACATATTTTCCAAAATTGTACAAAAAAAACGAACATGTATATATATAAAAGCATTATACATGTTTTCCAAAATTGTACAAAAACGATTTTTTTTTTTTTTCTTGTCACTTGTGTCTGAAGATTTATTAGTAAGCAAGCACAGAGCGACTCTATAAGTGTACCCATGCATATCTACAGTACTACAGAGAGTGTATATACAAGTCAGGCCTATCTATTTACACTGTGTAGGGTATGAACTGGCATTCCAATACATTGTTTATAGTGTATCATGCATTACGTTATTCGGGGTATTCGATCCAAGGTCTGGAATTCTGTTTTACACCGGTTTTACGTGTATTTTCCTGTATGTTTAAGTCGTCTGTATTTGTGATTCACCGCCTGTTCTAAGGACAGGAAGTTTAGATCAAACTGGACAGAATGATGATGTTCACTGATGGGAATTGTACACGTGAACATACGCTTTTGGTATCCGTATATCCAGGATTATGAACAATCTTGATTTTATCTCTATCGCTCGCCGTTACCGCGACGTCTGACGGTGTATACATGTTTTTTTTTCTGTTTGTTCATTGGGCTATGAATGAGAAAGGAAATAACATTACAGTCGGTATAATACTATGAACGCTTTTGCTGTCGTCTGTCAATCAGTTTGTGTGATGTGATGATCGGATTCCAGCAATGTTTATGTTTATCTAATTAATTTTCGGTAAGATGTTATCGTATTTTCTTCAGAAACAGGTGTACACATGCATGTGTAGAAAGAGAACTATTTCCGAACATTATACATACCAGTACCCCCTCTGTTAATTAAGGAGACAACTACCTCACACAACATTCTGAAACATGCTGCTAAGACGTGTGTTCCATGCTCATTCTAATAGATCAAAAAGCATCGCGACTTGTAATACTTAGTTATTTGTAATTCTTTCTATTTGTGCGTTATATGGGCATCCATGTGTGCTCTCTATATGTGCCATGAGGGGGGGGGAAGCCATGAGGACGCCCCTCTGCGCCATAAATTCATTGAGGAGGACATGGAAGGTGCGAGAGTAAGGAGGTCAAGCGAGACTAAGAGGGAAAAAAAGTGGCCACGTCGCGGTTAAAATGATGACAATGAACAACAAAAAAAATATGCGGTACTGGTTCTCTTCGCTCATAGAATTACCTCCTCGGGGGATATTTCCAGATATCGACGGAGGACGTGGCACCCGAGGGAGCGATTTCTGACACAGGCTTCAAGGTTGGACGCCTACTCCTGCAACCAAACGCCAGGGGAACTCAACAACAAAACTCAAAAAAAAAAAAAAAAAAAAAAAAAAAAAAAAAAAAAAAAAAAAAAAAAAGGGACTCGTCGAAGGTTGAGGTATTATTATGCTTTCTTTTTATTTATTCTTGAGGTAAGGGTTGGGGGGTAAGGGAGGGTGAGGGGGATGTTTAAGAAGAGGGAGGAAAACCCCAAAAGGGAGACAAGCGTTTTATAGTTTATACAGCAATAGAAAGAGAGGGAGAAGGGTAGGGTATATATATATTTTTAGACAATAATATAACAAGATGATTTTTATATAGAACATGGGGGAGGTTCTGATTAATCATTGGTTTTATTATTAGTCACAGAGTAAGAAAACTTTTGAGAGAATAAAGAGAGTAAAAAAAGTTTTAAAAAAATCTTGTAGTAAACACCATGTAAAAGATCAGAAATGACATCACAGTGCCAATATAAACAGTAAAATCATATTCCTGGTCAGTTCAATGAATGGAAAAGGTATCTGGTTCCAAAGTGAATTCAAAACTCATGCAGTGGTTAGTGATTCCCGGGTGTCTGTATAAGACCCAGGATAAGAGTTTGAAGTTGTAAAAGAGTTTGAGGTTGTCAAAGAACTTTCTTCAGACATTTACACTAACAAATGTTACATCAATTAACGTGACAAACAAACATGCTGTACTGATATTTAGACGGATTTCTGCTTATGTATCTTTCAATTGGAATTTCTACAATTACCCGAACATGTCTTATATAAAAATCTAATTTGGAAACAAAAAACTAACCGACGAGGTGCTGAAAAAAAAGGAAAAAATGAGGTAAAATGAGATGAGATCATGACGAGGTTCGTCCTGTCTCTGAGACGATGCCAACTCACCTCTTTGGCACCGAGTTGTCGACCGTCACGGGGCCACTGGAGGACGAAGAAGAAGAAGAGGAGGAGGAAGCGGGGGGACCGCGATTGGACGAAGAAGAAGTGGAGGAAGTGCTTGGGCGTCTTGACCTGCTAGGGCAAGGAACGAGGTCAGTTTCCGTGGTGAGGAAAGTGGGTTAAAAAATGACCTTTTTTTTTGGTTTTACATATACAACTCTTGATTTTTTTTTTTCTTTTTTTTTTTTTTTTTTTTTACTTTTTCTTTCAAATCTTTCTAAATCGAAAAATAGAATGCTGTTTTTTTTCTTTATCTTATCAGCATTGTTTTGGTTTTATATTCATATTTTTTTTTATTTGATTACCTTGGTACCTAAATCCACTGCGAAATTCTTGTAAACTTTTTGACGTAAATAATTACAACACTCAAAAATCAGTGGTGGTTAAAGTGATGTACAAGTTTTAGTCAGAGATATTATTTTAAAACCCCATGTTTTTGTTTTTTAAATTTTGTTCTTCCTTTTATACCGCCACCAAGAAAGCACTTCATTTAACTGAAAAAAGGAATGTATTTATGCTAGTGCATGCGGTCTGACAATAATCTCAGATTCTTCAATTTTTTGACAATTTGTCTCTCCGCTTTGCACTAAGCACTGATCATCTATCTGAGATGCGTGCTACACGCATTCAAGCATAATCAAGAAGATTCTCTTTCTCTCTTTATAACTATATATATACCACTACCTATATATCTATTTCCCTATATATAGTATTATATATATATACTTACTATATTTTTATACTCTAACTATTAATAATCAAGCCTCCTGCCCCCGCTCTCTCCGCCGTCAGCTCCTTCCCCATACCCTGCCCCTCCCCTCCCTCCCACCTGCTTCGACCTCCCTCACTCTCGCCTCCCTCCCCCTCCCTCTCTCTCTCAAGATAAGGCAAAGACATGCAAGACCAAAACAAACGGCAAAATCGCCCAAAAAAAAAAAAAAAAACCCCCAAAAAAAAAAGCCAGAGGACGCGAACGAGGGTACGCGCAAGAGCAAAGGCCCCCCGAAAGACGCGGTATCAATTAAGGCGCTCAGATTGGCATAGTTGATTTTCCCTCCGCCTGTGGCATACTCTCTTAGGCTGCGGTCGCCGAGGATCTGCGTCTGCATTATGCCATAACACGGGCTGATTAAAGACGCTAAGACGGCTTGCAACGACCCTCGTTTGTGTCTTTTATCTCTGTCCCTCCTTCCTATCTGTCTTCTGTCCTATGTCCTCTCTTCCTTCTGCGTCTCATATCTTTCTCCAGTCGCTTATCACTCTCTCTGTCTACCTATCCTTTTATAACCAGTATAATATGTCTGTGTTCTTTATTGCCTGGTCTTTAGTATGATAGTATAAAGTAAAAAGAGTAAACATTGGCAGATAAGCCATATATGCATACACATACATACATACATTATCACTTGACTTATCAGTATAATATATATATAATGGATATATAATATGTATGTAATAGTACTGTATATAGTATTATACATAAACATATATACTATACATACACATATAGACACTACACGACGCATCAAACACACGCATTACTAACACATAACCACACAGCATCACATCACATACTACATCATACTATAATATGTTTATGTATGTATATATATTTAAATATAAGCTAATATCATACATATAACATACACACACATCAATCACACACTCAACACTCACTAACATCACTCAATTATTATTGCCTACATCAGCAGCTAGCACTGAGCACACACGACATAGTGTATATATATCCTCATTTACTTTTATTGAGAATTATCCTATTCTTACTTTATTATACTCACTCTCACTATAGGTATTTTCTATTTTACTTCTTTCTTTTCCTTCGCTATGCTTATCCTATTATTTTACTCACATACAAAAATATCTACCTTTACTCAACAATATACGTGTGCTTCGTACCTATTATCTGTACCGCATACCTCTCACGTCTTTCTCATCTATGTTCGTGTGTGTTTTTGTACTATTTACCTGCGGAATACGGATTGTATCTATAATTTTCACTTATCACGTAGACAAAAAATCAGTAAGCTCTATCAATCCTCATAAATGTAGCAAACTGCATTCTAAATCAACAAGACATGCTTGGCATGCATTGTCACATTAAATATATGTCTTAATGTTACTGGACGTCTGCTAAATTTTCCCCCTCCTTATGCAAAGTCCAAACGCATGTGTCTGCTTTTTTCCCCAGCTGTCATTATACAAGGTAATACGCGCACACGCGGGTGATTTGCTTTCTCGCGGCGTGAAAAAATCCATTTATAAAGGATCGATGTCACCTTGTCACTCCCTCGTAAGACAGAATGTGGAGTGCAACATGTCTGAATGATTGGTCGCGCGGACGCGCCATCACCCTGTTCTTGTCCTCCTCGAGGCCTCGTAACACACAATCAACACGCTTGTGTTTTAAGGCTGCGTAACGTGGTGTTTGTACAAAGGGTCTTGGAGTCTGTAGGTTTCGAAGGTGTCCTAAACTTTCCACCCTCGATATCAGATTTCCTTCCAGAAATGCGCACCAGAACGTGTTGTTACGCTAGGCATAGGTTTTCTCATAATATATTTAATTCTTATTCGATTTATATTTTTGTATATCATTGTCAACAGAGGTTCTCTGCGAGCGCACCAAAAGTGGGCGAGGTTGAAGACGAGGGGAAATTCCTTTAAAATTGTTATTATCCATTAGATTATATGGTCGCCGTGGCCCCCTTCATATATACGGGTAATGATTTTCGGAGAATTGTTTCTAATTGATATAGAAGCTCTTTGAATTGCTAGGTAATGTATTCACTTGCTTCTCGCGAATTGTTTGTCTATATTACTTTGATCGTTTTTCTCTAGACCAGATGCGACGAATGAGAACGCACACTGACTGGGGAAATTTGAGCAACTCACGGATTGTCTACAAGCATTTCGAACACAGGAGAGAAAGTCGATAGCCACTTGTCAGATTTAAGTGTCTCCGTGTAAAGCTTTAGACTGTCTGAATTATCATGAGCACATGCTTCTTCAGGCCATGCAGTATGTGATGACTAACCGCCATGCTGTTGGGGGTAGCATGGGATGTGTTATCCCGGTTCATTTAGACAGAGACCTTTTATACAACATACCTCTGGGTACTCTCGGGGAATAGAGAACGGATACCGGAAGAGGAAGAAGAAGACTGAGAAGAGCGTTGGGAGGAGGAGGAGGAGGAAGAAGAAGTAGAGGGGTGCCTCGAGAGGTTGACTCGGAGGCACGGAGAGTACTGGAGGCTGAGGGCTGGGAGGAGGGGGAGGAGGAGGAGGAGGAGCGGGAGAGGGTGGAGGGGAGAGGAGCTCTCGCCCTCAGGGACTGGGAGGACAACTGCTCATTGGCGGGCGTGCGGGAAATGACCTGGGCTTTCTTGGCCGGGATCGCAGCCTGGACACGGGCGGGGTGGGCCCGGGCTTCACTCCCGGAGGAGGACTGGGACTGGGGTTGGGATCGGGAGCGGGACTGGGGGCGGGAAGCGGCCTCCTCGGCACCGGGGGATTGGGGTTGCCTAAAGGACTGCTGGCGGGAGGGGGGAGTTGGGTCGGGGGATTCGACGCCCGAGAAGGAAAAGGAGGAGCCAGGGCGTGCAGAATCAAAGTCAAAGTCGGAAAATTCGAAGAGCTGGGTTAGACCGTCCCTGTAACAACAACACACCGTCAGCATTCTCACTGACACTTCGCTTTTATCGCGGCGCCGATGCATTACTGGGTTACAGTTAGACTGAATATTTATAACATTTGCAAAGAGCTAGAGATATACATATAACAATCACATAAACGTGCATGACTGAAATATTATCATATTTACATGCTACAAACGTGCTCTCAAGTGCTATTTCAGCTGGCACACAAACAGGGTAAAATGAGGTGTATATATACATACATATATCATAACACAATGAAATTTGGAAACTCCATGCTACTCTTCGTCGTCACCAATCAGGGATTATAAGAGCCATGCACACATGATTAGGAAAACGATTTAGAAGCACAGTATTAACACATTCCAGCATGCCTTTAATTGCATACATCCAAGTGTGAGAGAACTGAATGGCTGTGGCAATGAGCCTCTTTCAGGCGGTGGGGCTTTACACTGCGAGGACCTAGGGGGTGAGTCGCATCACGAGAAATGCCTTTCCACTAAGACTCGAGGCCGAATGACGTGCATGAACCATAAGGGTGAAAGGGGCAACGGCACTCCGTCGTCCCGGATAGCCAGGTGATGCTCGACCCACGCCCTAGGGTCCCTGGTACTGAAGGGCAAACAGAACCTGGAGGAGGAGGAGGAGGAGGGAAGGGGCTGGCTCCTGGAGGACGACGCCGTCTGCCTGGAAGGAGAGCTCGACGCCCGGAGGGAGGAAGAGGGAGTGGGGGAGTTACTAGAGGGGAGAGAAGATCCACTTCTTGCAGTTCCTCCCCGTGAGAAAGACTTGGAGCTAGAGGCAGCCACGCGACGTCTAAAATATTGACATCATGCTGTGAGTTGTTTTAACCCTATCTAAGGTATCTGTGACTGACTGGAAATCCTTTGGTGGTCGTGGCTACTGAACTTCTGTGCATATACGTACGTACATACATATACTGAGAGACACGTACACAAAAGCCTTATATACACTTCAGCTGTTAGAGGCTAGAACAAAACACACCACGGATTTCCAGTCAATCAACTTTACGAATCTATATTTACAAAACAATGAGTAACAGATTTTCAAAAAAGAAACTACACATATAATACACGGAGAAAACATGCGATGTGTGCGCTGACATTCACTGTGCAAATACGAAAGAAGTCATAAGGGAATATCCAAAGTTGATCATAAACCCGCCACAAAATGAACATTCAAGGGACTAAATATATAACTATCAGACTATTCTAATAAACTAAGAGGTTTATATACACATTTTATATACATATTTACTGTGCATATATATATATATATATATATATATATATATAATATATATATATATATATATATATATATATATATTAGTATATATACTATGTATGTATGTATGTATGTATTTATGTATGCATTTGATATATATAAATCAAATATACATATATACATGTACATATGCAAATATATACACACATACATGAGAATACATGTATGCACATCTGTGTGAAAGTATATACAAACACAGTCAATGAAGAACCAGTATAGTGTGAGAGTAAGAGAGCAGTGCAGTAGTGGGTGTAAGGGTCTTTGGCGGAAGGTAGCTGTGTGTAAAGCAGGGGAGAGGCAGAGGCAGAACGCAAGCAACTTTCTTTAAAAAAAAAAAAACAGAGGAACAGGAAGCCGTGGTTGCTGTAGTTCCCTGTGCTTGAAAGAAATGACTTTCCCATTATATTTTTTATTTATTTTAATAGGCGAGACACGTAAGCTTTTAACTGGAAGAGAGTCGTAGCCAAATCACCTTAATTTTTATACAGAAGAGGTTTATCTTTATTTATATTCAGCGGTCAGAGGATATGCTACATCTCGTAACCCCAACGGCATTCTAATGCATCCCTAAAAGCAGGAGGAATAACGATGAAGAGAGAAATAAAAGAATAAAAAAAGGAAAAAATAAAAAAGAAAAAGCAAGCTGGCTGGATAAGATTTAGTAACTACGAAAATCATGGCATAATCTGGTTTAATCATGCGCTGGTTATTTGATTAATGAACTTTAAAACTGCCGATTTTATGCTAAACAAAACAACAAAACAAACTCCACGTTCAACTGGAGGCTTCAGTCTGACCATGCAGCTAAAAGAGTTAATTAAAAGGCCTCTACAAAGCCAGCGAACAGAATCGTATTTTTTTTTTTTTTTCGGCAACCAGCGCATACCTTTCAGGAATAGGCCTCAATTTAGGACCGGCGGGGGTGGTGGTGGTGGTGGTGGTGGTGGTAGTAGTGCGAGGACGGGGTTTGGTTGTGGTTGTGGTGGTACTTGTGGTGGTGGTTGTGGTTGAACGCGGTGGAGGTCGGGTCTCGAACTCAACCGCGCTATGGCAGCCAAGCAACCAAACTCCAGATCAGTTTTGGAATCTTTTACTTTTATTATTTTTTTTTGTTTTTGATTTTATTTACTTTGATTTTAATTCTTGTGGTAAAAAAGAGACGGAGTGCTGATATATATGAATACTAAAAAGCGTGCAGAAAGAAATCTGATTCTGAGATAGAAGTAAAAAGTCCTAAGAACAATATGACAAAAAAAAAAATCTTTGTCGGTTTACAGAGAATAAGTCCAAATCACACAAAGATGTAGGCCTATCCAACAATTGAAAGTAAAATGAAGATTCAGAAAATCAGTTTGCAAATGAAAATGGAGCAAGTTCAAGAGAATGAATACGGGAAATCTCTGTCTTTATCATACTAAGACATGTCTTTACCATATTTACAAGAAAGTGATTTTAAAGAGAGAAAAACACACCAAATGACCACAGAAGTTCACATATTCAAAACGTTTTAATTATGTATACAGACATATATGGGTATATTTTATATGAATTTCCTTGTGCTTTAGAAATAATGTAAGTGGACATTTAATACCTCCAAAAAATCCTACCAAAAATGTTTGAGTTATTCCTAAAAAACACGATAATTAAAGAAAACGATTTATATTTTAGCCCTAACTAAAAGAAACTTTACTTTACCTGGTTGGAGCTGCAGTTACTGGGCGTCTGACTGGAGCAGGTGTAGCAGTTGGAGCGTTGTCGTAGTAATCTACGTCTTGAAGAAAAATAAAATGATAATTTGATAAATTCCCTCAGAACACAATAATAAAATGATAATTTGCTAAATTCCCTCAGAATATAATATAATTCGTTCCTGATTCCTTATTTATTTTTTTTCATATAACGAATACCTTTTCAGATATTCAAATACATACCGTAGAGGTCGTAATAGTAGAAGTAATCAGCATCAGTGAAGTTCAGATCGCCGTAGAAAGCGTCATCAACGGAAGGAGTGACAGTTGGCTGAGGAGCTGGACGGGGAGCAGGAGTGGGCTGGCGCGGTCTGTGAAGTTGTTAAGGGCGGTCATTTCTGGTCTTTTGAAGCATGCGATTCGGGTAGTCAACACCTGTACTTACACGCATATACATACACGTACATATACGTATACACACGTACATAGACATACGCATACTTACTTTAATATTTACATACGCAAATACACACTTAATTAAACATTTTCATACACACTTATATATAAACCCAAACAACACACACACACACACACACACACACACACACACAACACACACACACATACACAAACTAAGCAAACACACAAACAAACACACATACCTGAACAAAAAAAAAATACAGATCCACACACACACACAAACGCATTGATACATACACATTGCTAACTTTGTAAGCTTGTCCATTAACATAAACGTATTTCTAACCCACAAACAATGCAGATTTTAAGATTTCATTAACTGATATCAAGAGATCTAGTGGTCTAATAAATACTATTGGTCTACAGCACACGCAAAGCATCACTACTTCAACTACAGAACTTACATGTGCAGCAAATCTTAACAAAACGTATATATCTACCTCCACCGGTCATGCATTGACACAACACTGCTCGAGTCTGCTTCAGTTCATGCTTTGTATGCAATTTTCTCCCTATATGATAATGCTGAAATGCTTTTTTTTGGTTCTTAAATTCAGGTTATTGCATCTAGATTTAGTGCTGCCTCTCACAGAGAACTCTAAGTAAGATGTAACTGCTGAGATTTTTTTTTTTTTTTGAGAATGGAGAACCTTAAAGATCTATGTCATGTTTCCCCATGGTTGAAAAAAATAATGTGATAGGTTTATGAGAAAACCAAATTTGGCAGCCCTAAAGTCTGTGGCGGGTGCGCATGAGCAGTGCTGCGGGGTACCTGGATGATTGCTGGTCGTCGTGGGTGGGGAGGTGGTTGGGGGTGGGCGGGATCGAGTCAGAAGTCTGGGAAGAACTCGCAGGCAGTCGCGAGAGTTCGGGGTGTCGGGCAGTGCCAGGGACCTGAGGCGGTTTGCTTAACGAGATCACGTTTTCGGGGGACTCGGCCGAGACCACTTTCCTGAAGGGGGGGAATGTCGACCTCTGTCTGGAGAAGGGGGTCTTGGGGGTGGTGACTTTGGGGGGGCGGCGGTTAAGGCGAGTAGGGGAGGAGGTGGGGGAGGGGGGTCGTCGGGTGGGACGAGTTGCAGGGGTGGTGGCAACGGTAGCGGGACTGGGGGGACTGTTCGGGGCGTCGTAGGTCGTGGCTTCGGTAGTTGGGCGAGGTTTTGGGTCGTGCGGATGGGGATGGTGTGGCGAGGCGATAGTGTTGTGGGGCGGGGTGCTGGTGTGGTGTGGCGAGGGGCGAATGTGGTGGGCGAGGCGCCGGTGTGGTGTGGCGAGGGGCGAAGGTGGTGGGTCGCGGGCTGGTGTGGTTAAGAAAAGGTCTGTGGGATTCGGGATCGAAAGGCTGGGGGGAAAACGGCGGGTCCTGGCTGCGGAGGAGGGGAACTGAGGGCGCCCTTCGAGTGGCGGGCGAGGGAGGGAAACTGGCTGCTTTCCTGGGGAGGAGGAGGGAAGACTGGCTGCCTCTCGGGTGGAGGAGGGAAGACTGGCTGCCTCCTCGGGCGGAGGAGGGACTTCTGGTCGAAGGGGCGCTGAGGACTCTGGGCCAGGGACAACAAAGTGCGAGGGGATTTGGGAGGGGCTGGGCGGGGCGACAGGCTTGGCTTCCTCCGGCACGAAGGGCTGAGCGACCGACTCGAGGTGGGGGAAGGACCCGGGGTGGGGGCGGGGCAGGAAGGCGTCGGTCTGAAGGGGGGTGCGCCGGTACGGGAAGACCTGGGGCCGGGCGGCGCGGAAAGGGTCGGCTTGGGGCCTGGGCGCGGAAGGGAGACAACCTGGGGCCTGGGGGGCGGAAGGGATATCGACCTGAGGCCCTAGGGCGAATTGCTGCGGCCTGAGAGGAAGGAGATTCTGCTGCTGGGACGGAGGCTGCCTGCCCTGGCCGTGCGGCAAGGCGCTCGTGTCCAAAGGTCTCCGAAGTGGCTGAAGTGCTGGAAGTTCCCGAAGGGGTTGGCGGGGGACTGCGGGGGGAAACTGGCCGGGGGGAAGCGACTGGTCTGGGGAAGCGAGAAAACTGCTGCGTGTGGAACGCGTTGGGGGGGAAGCCCTGGTTTATGAAAGCTCCCTGAGGAAGCGACTGCCTGCGAGTTATTCCCTGGTCACGAGATTCAAGGGGGAGGGACTGGCTATTCCTGGGGGACGCTGCTGCTGCTGCGTCAGGTGAGGACTCCTGCAGGCGGTGCTGAGGTGACTCCTGCCAAAACCTTGCTGTGGCGGCAGAGGGAAAGGGATGCTCTTGGAGGGGAAGTCGGAAGTCAGAGTCGGGTGTGGAGTCGAGAACAGTCAGGTCTCGCCGGTAAAGGTGGCTTTTGCGGGCGGAGGAGAATGCGCGTCCCGGCCACGCCCCCTCCTCGAGATCGTTGGGCGACCTTCACATAAACACCGCGTCAGGCTCAGGCACTCTCGCGCTCGCCCTGGGCCCGAACGCCGCGCGCAGGCTGTCGTGTGCAGGGCGGCCGCTTCGAGCAGGCAACAACGGGTCGTCTCGCTTGACACCGTGACATGAATATCAAGTAAATGACATGAAAATGCTCATTGCAGACTGACACACTAATTGGCTTTGTCCTGAAACCCGGAGAGAGTCCACGTTGCGGCAAAAGGTATTTCCTATTGTTACTGATGACTTTCAAATAGCATCTTTAGCAGGACTTTTCATTTCTATTAGATATTCAATCGCTTCTGAAGACACTTATCATTATTAATATTGCTATTATGACCTTAATTGATGGCATATGTGAAGTAAGAATGATAACAACAGCAGCAAAAGAAAAAATATTTATTCTTAGAGTGTATGAATGTGTGTGTGTGTGGATAGATGAATGGATGGATAGATAGATAGATAGATACATAGACAGATGGATAAATAACCAGATAGATAGATGGATGGACGTTGTGTATATCTGTAGTATATATTTAATATTGTATGCATAAGCATAGTCTTCAAATGGATTTCTACTTTTACCAATACAATCTACAAGTATTTACAAAAACAGTCAATATGCTACAACTTCTACTACAAACACTTCTACAGCCAGCACGGCAATCAGTATTACTAAAATCACTACTTTAATGCTAATGATCATACTAGCAATAAAACTACTGATGCTAATATTACTTCTCTACTAGGGACGATGCTGAAGAGGGTTGTATTGTAAACAGTATGATATAATGATGGTAATGATGAAAATGATGTAGAGGTGATGAGGATATTAACTGTAATAATAATCATGATGATATTGATCGTCATGATAACGATAATGTTAATAAAGATGATGGGAATGAGAATAATGATCGTCATGAATATGATAATAAAGATGATGGTGATGAGAATAATGATAATGTTAATAATAATAACACTGCTAATGGTATTAACAATAATAACAATAGCAATAATGACAATAATGCTCATAACAATAACAATAACAACGCTAAAGAGGAGAAATAAAATAAAGATAATGACGATATCATTATAGATTTAATCACTGGATCTCTATCCGGGTTATATATGAGATCTGATCGCATGACTCATTCATCATAGACGATCGAATCTCTATCTACAAAGCATTAAAGACTATTGTTGCTTGCACTTCGGGCCGAGGGCGTGCTTGAGGTACCAGCATAAACTTGTTAGTAGTTTCATTATATGGAGGAAAAAAAGGAGTGTCAAATGATAAAACAGGTCATATAATAAAGGAATCATTAGTAGTAGTCTTGAGATAAAAAAAAAAAAAAAAAAAAAAAAAAACGTCAACTAAAGCATAGTAATATTATAACGTTAATCTTGTCTTATATATATATATGAAGTCTTATTGACAACAAGTTCGTGAGGAATTGAGTAGTTGTCATGGTTACTGTGTGCTGTGTGCTTGAGTGTGCACGCAAATCTATCAGTACAATGCTATATCAGCAACCTTATCTTTACTGTGAGTGATGATGGAGAGGAACAGATAGATAGAGAAGAGAAAGCAAGTCAAAGGAAGAAAAAAAAAACTTTTCCAAAGTTGAAAAGAAAACTTAAAGAGACTTGAAGATTTTTCTACAAGAAATAATAATCTACGAACGATAAATATATATTTTTAATTATCAATTATTCATCTATTTATTTGTTCTATCTATTATATCTATCTGCCTATCTTTCATATTATCTGTCTACCTATGTATCTATTTATCTATCCGCAAATCTATGTACATATCTATGTATCTATCTATGTATCTATCTTTATATCTATCTATCTAACATATCTATGTATCTAGCTTTCTTCGTATCTATCTATCTATCTATCTATCTATCAATCAATCAATCAATCTATCTATCTCTCTATCATTCATCTAACTATCTCTCCATCATCTATCTCTTTATCGACATTTCTCTCTCTCTCTCTCTCTCTCTATCTCTCTCTCTCTCTCTGCGTTGTACACAAACCGTTTCCACTCTGAGAACTGATCCCACTTCTCTGTTTACATAACGCAACGCACATGACCAACATCTAAAGGGAAAGTGTACACCAGTATCTCTCGTGTGTGTTATTATTATACGAGTCGGGAATGTACTACGAGGCTTATGAATTGGAAATGACCAGTTCATGAGTGTTAGTTTCTTGGAGAATTAAATGTAATTGGGGTTTTTTATTTTTTTATTTGTTTAAGCTACTTTTTATTTTATTTAGTTAGTTGGTCTAGATTTCTGAATTTATTCAGTATTGATCATTCATAAAGATTTAGAGATTTAAGATACATCTACCACTATACTCAACCTTCTCTTAAAAGAAAAGATATCTACGATTTATTCTAAACTAACCCCCCCCCCTAAAAAGTAATCTATCACAGAAAACGAAAAGAGCCCCTTCCCTCCCCAGAAGAGCCAAGAAGAAAAAAGAAGAGAAGGAAAAGAAATAAGAAGTGTTTGTAAATTCCAAGACAGTTTCAGCCAAGCAAACAGCATGCCATAAACCTGGGTGCACTTTAAACGGGAGCAGTGTTGACAAGGCGTCTGTTGGATTCTTGGACCTGGAGTGGGAAGAGGTTTCGATTCTTTAATTGCTTATTCCGATCCTTTATATCCTTTTAGAGCAAAAAGGACACGAAGGACAAGGACAGTAAAAAGGTAATAATAAAAATTGAATGACGAGAGAGAGAAAGAAACACTAGAAGGAGACCAAGAACAGTACAGAAATAACAAAGAAGTAGAAAAAACGAAAATAACAAAATACACAAGATTGAGACCAAGGACATGAAAATAGATTTTAAAAAATATTCAAAAAAAAAAAAAACCAAAATGAAAAGCCACCAAAAAATATATATACAATATTAATAATGATAATAAATAAATAAATAAAAATGATAATGAAAAAACACACAAACACAAGACCTCAAAAAACTAAAAAAAAAAAAAAAAATCCCGGAATCTTGGATCAAAAAAAAAATAATAATAATAAATAATAATAATAATATTGATGATAAATAAATAAATAAAAATAATAATGAAAAAACACACAAACACAAGACCTCAAAAAACTCAAAAACTAAAAAAAAAAAAAAAAAAAATCCTGGAATCTTGGAACCTACCGCCGCGTCCGTGAAGAGGTTCTGGAATCGCTGGGAACTGACAACCTGCTGTTTCGGTTCCTGTTGTTCCCTGAAGAAGCGAGCTTGCCTGTTGGCCTTGTCGCTGTTGTCGAACTGGAGGAGGAGCGAAAGGGAGGAATAAATTGGTAAGAAGGGAACGGGAATGATTAAGTAATAAGAGATGAACGGAAAGGATGGATTAAGTGATAAAAAAATGGACGAAAATGATGAATAAATAGGTAAATATTAAAGAAAAGGATGAATTAATTGGTAAAAATTAATGAAAAAGATTATTTGAGTAATAGAATTGAATGAAAATGATTAATAAATTGATAAAAATGAATGAGAAAAATTAGTTAAGTAATAAAACTGAACGAAAATAATAAACTGACTTATAAACATGAACGGGAATAATTAATTAATTTATGAAAGTGAATGAGAATAATGAATTAAGAAACAAAAATGAACGAAAATACTAAACAAGCCAACAAAAGGAACGAAAATAATGAATTAAGTAATAAAAATCCAAAGAAAAGAATAAATTAAATAATAAAAGCCATCGAAAGCAATGAACAACAATAAAAAAGCAACGAAGATTAGGAACTAAGTAACAGAAAAAGGAACAACAACAATGAGTAAGTAATTAAAAAAAACAAACACTAAATGACAAAAACAAACAAACAAACAAACAAAACTCACAGCGTTGGAAGCTCTTAGACTCTGGGACGAACGGAGGCTGTTGTCGAGGCGGTCGTCGAAGCTGCTGAGAAATGAGGCGAATGAGGAGAGGAGGCAATTATGAGGCAAGAAAATGAGAATGAGGAGAGAAAAATGAGAATGAGGAGAGGGGGAAATTATGAGGAAAGCAGGGAGGAGAATTAATTATGAGGAAAGCAGGGAGGAGAATGAGGAGAGGAGGTAATTAGGAAGTAAGAAAAATGAGAGGAAGCAATTATGAGGTTGGGAAATGAAGAGGCAATTATGAGGTAAGAAAAATGAGGAGAGGAGAGGAGATAATTATGAGGTAAGAAAAATGGGGAGGAGAATGAGGAGAGGTGAATATGAGGAAAGCATGGAGGAGAATGAGGATTATGAGGAAGCAGGGAGGAGAATGAGCAAGGTTGAGGAGAGGAGGCAATTATGAGGTAAGAAAAATGAGAATGAGGAGAGGAGGCAATTATGAGGTAAGAAAAATGAGAATGAGGAGAGGAGGTAATTATGAGGAAAGAAAAATGAGGAGAGGAGACAATTATGAGGAAAGCAGGGAGGAGAAAGAGGAGATGAGGCAATTATGAGGTAAGAAAAATGAGGAAGAATTATGAGTAAATAATTATGAGGTAAAAATAAAAGAACGTGGAAATAAGGTAACAAAACAGAAAAACAAACAAAAAAAGATATCAACACAAAAAAAAAACATAAAAACAGACAATCCTACCAACCCCCCCCCCTAAAAAAAATAATAATAAAAATAAATGAATCTAAACCCCACACCGTTTCCGGAGACGAAGAGAACCTCACCTCACAGACGACGTCAGGGGTTCAGTGACTGGCCTGACGGGGTTCGATCGCGTGCGGGGGTCTGTGATCCTGACGGTGGACACCCCCGACCCCGCCTGCGTCAGGTTGCACACGACGTTGCGTGGCCAGTCGCAGGTCTGCAGTTCGTGGCTGGAGAGAGAGAGAGAGAGAGAGTGAGAGAGAGAGAGAGAGAGAAGGATTTAGTGATAAGGGGTAGAGATGTAGGGAAAAATTCGGAATGCGAGAGATAAATTTGACTTTCTTTTTTTATATCTTGGTATTTCTGATGAAGACATATTCGCGAATATAAGATTGAGAAAGATATATTTTTTTTTTATATTTGTCAGAAAATATCGTATATCTGACGAAGATATATTCGAGATGAAATGATTCTTCATAACACAAGAGGCGTATTTGATTTTTTTTATACATCGTCAGAAACACATTACTTATTCTGACGAAGACATATCGTGAAATGTAAGATTGAGAATGAGAATGAGTATCTTCACAAGATGTGTATTTGACCTTTTTATTATTATATCTTCGTCAGAAATACAATACGTATTTCTAACGACGATATATTCGAGAAGGTATGAATGAGCATGAATATCTTCACAATACAAGAGGTGTATTTGACCTTTTTTATACATATATCTTCGTCTGACGAAGGTATGTATATTCGAAACCGTTTAAACATATCTCTTGTATTGTGAAGATATTCATTCTCATTCATACCTTTCTACATTTGTTAACATGAATGCGGTTCAAGGGGAGAGCTGTTTCGAAGAAGCCAGTACATGAATATATGAATGCGTGAATAAGCTGGTAAGCATTGGCAGATCAAATGAATGAATAAATAAATGTATGAATCGACGAGAGAAAAAAATAAAATGAAACAAAGCAAAACAAAACCAAAAAAATGGATTAGAGAAATAAAAAGTAAAAGTAAACACTTGTCAAGAAAAACATGAAAAGTATCTCCGTAAAAAAAAAAAAAAAAAAAAAAAAAAAAAAAAAAATCTACCTCCCCTTCCAAAAAACGTGCACCAGCGACCTACCTGTAGACGAGTCCTCCAGTGCAGGACTCCTGAAGGGCTCCGCCGAACACACAGACGTAGTACTGGGAGCAGTCAGTCGGGTGCGGGTAATAACCGAAGTCTTCCGGGCAGTTGAAGTCGGCTACTTCCGATTTGCCGGCCGGGACTCGCTGACGTCGGCGACCACCGCTGATCGATCTCTGCTGACACGTCGCTAGTCCTGCGGGAGGAGGGAGAGGAAGAGGGTTATTGAGGGAGGTGGTGGGGGAGGTGTGGGAGGGGTAAGTGTGTGGGGATTTTTTTTTTTTTTTTTTTTTTTTTTTTTTCTTTATCTGGGATGTGATTCCCTATTTTATTTCTTTTCTCTCTCTCTCTGTCTCTCTTTCAGATGTGATTTTTTTCTCTCTCTCTGTCTCTCCTCTCTCTCTCTCTCTCTCTCTCTCTCTCTCTCTCTCTATCTATCTCCCTCCCTCCCTCCCTCTCTCCCTTGCTTTCGCCATGTGTCTACCACACCTATCCCTCCATCACGTATCTATCTATTCATCTATACCTACGTGTTCACGCCCATTCAACACCACTCACCCATCCTCCATTCCGCTCTCACAACCCCCTAGTATTACACAGTACTTGTTGACGCCGCCGGGGGGGGGGGGGGGGGGAGGTTCAATCAGAAACGCTATCATGGTTAATTATGATTTTCGACGCGGGGAACCGTCATGGTGCGTATGGTGGTGAAATTGGGAGATTAATCACGTGACCTTCGTTACATCGAGGGATTTGGCGAGCGTGTGAAGAAGCGGCGGCTCGCTCTCGCCTCCATTCCGATCTCACGATTCCTGTTCCCCTCTCTCCTCCTTCCTTTTCTCGTTTCCTCTTCATCTTTCTCTTCTTGTTCTCTTCCTCCTCTGCTTCTCCTTCTTCCACCTTCCTTCTCCCATTCTCCTGCTATCCCCTTATCCTCTCCATCTTCTCCTACTCCTTACCCTTCCTTCCCCCGTTCCCCTTCCTCTTCCTCCCTCCTTCCCTTCCCCTCCCTTCCTCTTCTCCTCTCCCCCTCTCCTCCCACCCCTTTCCCCCTACCCCTCCACCCCCCCTCCCCGCGATCCGGTCATGGCTTTACGAATCTCACATGAATATTTACGACTCTTTATAAGTGGAACATGTACAGTGTCTGACACTTAACACAAATCGTTGTTGTTAAGTGTCCACGGTTAGAAATCACGAAGGCTGGTCATGGTGATGCGCCAAGAACTGAGAACAGGTCCTTGTGGTTGTGGTGTCAT